TTTACTTTATGTGTATATGTGTTTTGCCCACATGAATGTATGTGCCCCACATATGTACAGTACCCATTGAGGCCAGAAGAGGGCGTCTGTTCCCCGAACTTGAGTTATAGATGTTTGTTAGCCACCATATGGGTGCTGGGAACCAAACTCCTGTCTTCTGCAAGAGCAGCAAGTGCTCTTAACCATTGAACCAACTCTTCAGCCCAAAGGATTTGTTTTAAGGCCACACTGGTACAGAAACTGTAGAAAAAAGAGGAACAGGGCGGAGTGTGGCCTCAGCATGTCAAGTGCTTTGCACCAACTTGGCTGTTCTCAGCAAGTGATTCTTTCTACCCCATTCTCATTTACCCCATATCCTTCCACCATGGGAAAATCTCTGCTTGCTTTCCATGCCACATAATTTTCGCTTGTATATGGCTCCATGTGCTCTTCTCTTTTCACAAGCAGTCCCTGCTGCAGTTTTATTTGTACTGAGACAAGGTCTCACCAGGTAGCCCAGGCTGTCCTTGAACTCAGTCTTCCTCACTGGTAATGTGCTTGCATAACATGCCCAAGGCCCTGGGTTGTGTCCCCAGTACCATGAAAAAAAAATTTCCTAAGGTAGAACTTGTCTGGCCAAGCTCACATTTTTAAAAATTTTTTAATTTTTAATTTTTATGTGGATGAATGTATTACCTGCATGTGTGTAAGTGCACCCTGTGTAGTGCATTGCCCATGGAGGTTAGGAGAGGGCATTGGATTCCCTGGAACTGGAGTTATGGACAGTTGTTAGCCATCATGTGGGTGCTGGGAACCAAACCTGGGTCCTTTGCAAGAGCAGCTAATGCTCTTAACCCCTGGGCCGTTTCTCCAGCACCCCCTGAAGTTCACATTTTCTTTTTTTAAAAAAAAATTTAATTATATTTTTATGTGTATGTATGTGTGTATTGCCTGCATGTAGGTAAGTGTACTCGTGTCGTGCAATGCCCACAGAGGACAGAAGAGGCTGTCGGATCCCCTGGAACTGGAGTTATGGACAGTTGTTAGCTGCCATGTGGGTGCTGAGATTTGAACCTGGGTCTTCTGGAAGAACAGCCAGTGTTCTTAACTGCTGAGCCATCTCTCCAGCCCCCACATTTTCAAATCAAGACACAACCAGAATTGGCTGGGGTTGGGTCAGATGCCCACTCTCGGGCCCAACAGCTGTGATAGGGAAAGTCATGGGTGGCCCAACATTGTCACTTTAGCAGGAGCTACCTATAATAGGGTGAGAAAGGTAATTGATTTTGTGTGCTCCTAAAAGCAAGTTCTTTAAACTATCTGAATTCAGTGTCGTCTGTAAAGGAGTAACTATGCTGCATGATTGTCCTGAAAAGCAGAAACCACATGTATACTATACTTAGTCCTCAATAAATTGAAACTATTATTGCCATCTTTATCCTTATACCACATATAACACTACATATTTTGATATAATAACAAATTGACTTAGAATGGACTTCGAGGACACAACGTAAGTGAATAAGTTGATTGGCAAATGAATATCTTACATTAATTATTCATTAATTTTTTTGAGACAGAGTCTTGCTATCTAGCCCAGGTTAGCATGCAACTTTCTATGCAACTCAAGCTAGCTTGGAACTTGAGAATTTCCTGCTTCAGCGTTTAAGTGCTGAGATTACAGGTGTGTGCCACCATACTAAGCCAATTCCATTACATACATATATGAACATATATGAATTTTTTTTAACTTATTATTTTTATTTTATGTGCATGAGTGTAGGTAGGTGCACCTGTGTTGGGCAATGCCTGAGGATGTCAGAAGAGGGTGTTAGATCCCCTGGAACTGGAGTTGCAGACAGTTGTGAGCCATCATGTGGGTGCTGGGAATTGAACCCGGGTCCTCTGCAAGAGCAGCCAGTGCTCTTAACTGCTGACCTATCTTTCCAGCCCTGAATAGTGACTTTTTCACATGGTCTAAAATAAATGACTATTTAGCAATCTTTTATGTTCTAGTCACAAAATTTTTTAGACCAAGTGTTGTCATTTTCTAAACAAGATGTATTCAAGAGGGTGTGAAATCCGGCATTTAAAGCAAAGTTAAAGAAATTTGTAAAGCAACAAGGTTCACCGCAATGAACTTTGAAGAAAGTGTACGTGCAGTATGCATTTTGGTGTTGATTCTCATGATCCTAGAAGTAGGAAGGCGGGGCTGAAAAGATTGAAGTCAGAGAGAATCCGAGCGTGCTTGTGTGTGCACTGTACACACACTTGAACATCTTTAACAGTAGTTGGTATGGGAAGGGGTTATTTCTTGTAATAGATAAGACAGCTGTGCTTGGAATAGGGAGAATGCAAAAATAAACAAGCCATAGCCTTGCTTTCCAGAAAATTTCCTTCCAAAGTGAGGCAGAATAACACTTGGGTTAAGAATTAAACACTA